GCAAAGCAAAATACGAAACAAAACTCGGCCATACTCGGGCCAAATTTAAGGAACGGCGGCCCACGCTGGGCTCCGGCCTCAGCCTCGGCGGCTGACAGCCGGGTCCCGCGTGACAGCGAGACAGGCAGGGGAGGAGAAAGAGACAGCGGCGTAGAACGTCGCCGGCGACATCTCCGGCGAACTCGATGGCACCGACGTGTTCCCCACACCCATGCGCACCCAGCTAAACCCTAATTTCAGACTCTACCGACTCTTAGCATAGACGCCAGTGCGAATGGCGGACGACGGCGCGGTCAAGCGAGGCTCCGGCGAGACGACGACGTCGCGACTCGAATTGGTGACCCTACGAGCATCAGTGGCACACGCAGCAGCTAACGCAAGGGAGGGATGGGACGGCAAGGGGCTCGAGCAGCACGGCCACGTGCGAGCTCGGTTGGCGGCGGTCATGGCGACCCGGTGGAGCCGCGCTCACGGTGAGAGCTACCTGAGGCGAAAATGGAGTGGCGGTGGGGTCACGGACGTGGAGGAGCTCACGGTGGTGCTGCGTCAGGGATGAATCGGGCAAGGGCGCTCAGTTTCGGTGGATTTGGCTCGGCGCTGCTTCGGCGTTCCGGTCGCCGTGCACGCGGAGGAAGGAGAGGGCAGGGTGAGATGGCGAGTGCACGAGCGAGTGGCGAGGCGCTGGCTTGAAGTGGAGGACAACGACAGCGGCGTCAGGCCAGCCACGGCGCGTGGCCGCGCAATCAGAGACCCGGCGACGTGTGTCCCCCACGCGGCGCCTGTTGTCTGATGAATGTCAGTCGCTGAAGAATCTGAATTTTTCGTTTCAGTAACCAACCGAACCGACTGACAGAGCATGTTTGACGATGATTAACTCCCAATCCGCGATGATCTAGACTACGCCATAGTTAACAAAGTTGATCATCTATATGTGAACTACAACTCTTTCCATTGGAGCTCGAGCTGGTTTGGATTGGTTAGGGAGATACAAGGTGACAAAGTTGTGTACATGAAACTGCAACCCAGTTAAGGACTTAGAAAAATTTCTAAGTCTGAAATCAGCATGAACTTCGGACTTGTGGGCCATGTTTGAGCATGTTCTAGCCATTTTCATGAGTTGGTCATAAAACAACTTTTGTTCCTTGATAAATTAGCTACAACTTTTGTAAAGAGTGCACAGCCATGCAAAGTCTCTAAGTTGGACTTTTGAATCAGTCAAACGATGACACTCCAGGGGTCAATTCAAGTCAAACTTGCACTTGAGGGCATTTTGGTCATTTTGGTTTACATGAACAATGTCCCAACAAGTAACCTAAGTATAGCTAAGGTGTATTAGACCATGATCAACCACTTTACAAAGTTGTTATACCACTTCTAATGATCACATGTGATACAAAAATTAAAACAAACAATTCATACATATGTTTCAATACAATGTTTCACATGTTGCATGACCTTGTTGTTATCCTATACTTGTCACATTACTACCATGTTGCCATGCTTCAAGATACGAGAAATTCATGTTGCATTTATATGTTGCACTACTACCATTCACAAGCAATCAAGCATGAAACACATACAATTTAAAATGTTGCATATGTATGTTTCAATGATAATGACATGATGACATAGATAATGCACATGGTTATGAAATGATATGCAATTTAGTGGAAGCCTAAACACCTAGGGTGTTACATCCCGCATCCAAGCACACCATCTGTCATGAAACCCCCTGGCCTTTAGAATAGTGTCCAAACTCTCCCAAATCACTGTGTCAAAGGCCTTCGCAAAGTCTAACTTAAGCACCAAGGTCGGCAGTCTCATTTTGTTGCAAGTCTGAATCAGTTCAGCTGCAAAGACGAAAGTTTCAGAGATAGAGCGACCCTTTAAGAAGCCTGTTTGGTGTAGGTCAATCAAGTTCCCAATCTCTTTCTGCAGTCTTCTTGTGAGCATTTTGCTAAGTATCTTGATGGAGCAATTTTGTAGGCATATTGGTCTGAATGCGTCCACAGCTACAGCTCCAGGCTTTTTGGGATAAGCACCATGTAAGAACGGTTGATCCTCTCTAGCTGCACTTGCCTCTGTTGGAAGGCTTGCAGGAAGGCCATGACCTGCGACTTTATACTGCTCCAAGCCGCCCTGTAAAAAGAAGGTCCGAAACCGTCGGGGCCCGGTGCACTTGATCTGTCCATGGATTTCAGAGCTTCGAAGGCTTCCAATTCAGAGAGAGGAGCGATGAGCTCACTAGACGGCCGCTGTCTGTCATGGAAGAGAGCATGCACATCAAAGTTCCAGGCTGAGGTCCCTGGTTCGCCGATGATGGAGCTGAAAAAGTTGGTGAGAGCTTGTATTTTCCCGTCATGGTTGGCAATCACCGAGCCGTGCACTTCAACCCATCGGATGGAGTTGTTTCGCAGACGGACGATGGCCTGGGCATGATGAAAGGCAGTGTTTGCATCGCCTTCCCTGATTGCCCGGAACTTACTACGCTGCTTCCAGTAAGCTGCTTTCTCTTTGATTGCTTGGGCGAGGCAGTCAATACAAGTCTTGCGTGCCTGTAACTCATCAAAAGAAAGAGCCCGCTCCTCCTCAAAGGAATCAAGTAATAGGATAATAAATTTGCAGTTGGAAATTATTTGGCGAGGCGCCCTGAAACGCCGTGCCCAAACCTTTGTCACGGCTCTAGCCGACTTGAGACAAGCTGCAAGCTGACCTGCCGCATCGCTGCATACACGCGCTTCAGCCCACGCAGGAAGGACAGTTTGTAGGAAATTTTGACGGTGCAGCCAAGCATTCTCGAAGCGGAAAACACTGGATTTCGGAATGGAGGTGGACATGGAAAGAAACAACGGGGTGTGGTCGGATGTTGGCTTTGCCCTGGGTGAGAGTGAAGTATCAGGGAAGGTAGTAGTGTGGGCGAGGTTGACCAGTGCTCGATCAAGCTTGGCTAGGATTGGAGGTTCCTGGCCGTTGGACCAGGTGAATTACCTCCAAGCAGTGGGATTTCCATCATCCCCAAGGAGTTGATGGTGTCATTGAAGGTGTTCATAAGAGGGATGTTGACATTGACGTTGTTTTTCTCATCCCCTGACCGGATAAGATTGAAATCTCCGATGATGACCCAGGGGCCATTGATATTGGAGGATAGGTCATGAAGTTCACGAAGAAAGTCGCTAGAGTGACGATGGTCTGACGGACCGTAGACATTTGTGACAGTGAGTGAGTGGTCAGACAACGTGCTGACGAGAAGAGTAGTGAGCGAGTGGTTTTTGAGAGTGAAGTCGGAGCAGGACCAGTAAGATTGGCTCCAGGCAGTGACAATGCCACCCCTGGACCCGACGGCTGGTATGTATTTGTAGCTGCAGGCAAGTTGAGGGGGTAGGAAGGTTTTGATTTTGAACTGATCGATGCTGTGCAATTTTGATTCTTGGACGCACATAACAGTTGGGTTAGCAGAAGAAATTGCATCACGTACAACATTGCATTTATCCGGGTCGCCTAGGCCGCGCACATTCCACGATAAAACAGAGAGTGAACGATTTGATCCAGAGTTCAGAAGACTCATTTCAGAAACAGATGACACCCAAGTAGCAGATCAATAGTTACATGAAGGTGGTTTTAAGAGAAAAAACACAGAACAACGAACAAAGCTTGAGTTTAACACTAAGGCAGATAGCTTGGCCTCGCTGGAGCAGTAACCCGGACGGCCGTCTGATCCGGGGTCCCGGAGAGCAGTGGCTGGAGGCCTTCATTCCGCAACGTCTGTCACCACGCCGACCGAAGCGGCGGAGGAGCAGCCAGCAGTAGCTGCCGAGATGAGCTTGCGGATCTCCTTGGCGCTCATGGGGATCTTGTTGCGGGTCAGGATGTTACGCTTAGTCACCTGCTTTTTGAGAGCGGAGGAGCAGGCCGCCAACGCGTTCACCAAGGCTTTGCGACGAACAGCTTGGTTTGGGACATTGACGAAAGCGCCCTTCGTCCGTTCAGCGATGCGTGCGCTGTGCCGTGAGGGAGGCAGGGAAGTAGCGTCTGCCCGCCTGTGCCGTGGGCGTGCAGACACAGCCCGGGCCACGCGTGGCGTTCCCGGCGGGGTGACGAAGTCAAAGCTGAAAACAGAGGAGGCATGAGGAGGAGACGAGGCCGGTGCAGCCTCCTGGAGCTCTTGCCCGCCTTCGTTAGGGACTGGCAGCCCAGGGGAGCTGACAGTCGACCGCGACGGCTCGAGGACGAAATGCTGATTGGCGCCATTTAGGAGACACCGAGCCAGCGCAAGTGCTAGGCCCAGAACATGAGCCGGGTTCGCGTTCACGGCGCAGTCCCGGGCAGGCATAACAGCATCAGGTGCCGGTGGAGGGAAACGCCGGTTTGTCAGGTGTTGGGGAGGCTGGCGCTGCTGTTCCCGCCCGAAAGGAGGAGTGGGGCCCTGTTGGGGTCCTGGTGGAGGCGGAGTGGGACCGTGCCTGAAGAACGGGGTCAGGTTGCCGTCATCGTCGAGCTGGTCCGAGCGATCCCACACTCGGATGGGCAAGACTCGCGCGACCCCACCAAAGCGACCACATCCAAAGCGTCCCAATTGCTCAAACCATAGTCGTCGTCCAGCCCGCCAAAACATATTGTCCTATTCATTTGGCTGATAAGCCATGGATGACCATTGATGGATTTGTTGTGAGAGAAAAATACTGTTCATTGACTGAAAAAGTACGGCTTACAGGACAAGCGAACATGGCGATATTCAATCTCAGGACAACGACCGCCCGTGCGTTGCGTGGACGCCCGCGACGCGAGCCGACGTCTCGTCGTTCGTCGATCTCACTCGTCGTCGTGAGTCGTCGCGTCAAACCTGTCACGCAATTCGACCCCCACGCCCCACCCGGCCACCCTATAAATTCGTCCCTCCTACGTCTTCCCCGCAGCTGACGACAACCCAGCGCGCACACGAACGAACAAGCGTAAGCGAGTAGCGAGGATCGACTTGAATCGCTCGCAGCAGCGGCAGCGCCATGATGTCCTGGAAGAGGAAGACCAGCAGCGCGGAGTCGCCCTTCCGGGGCGCCGAGGAGGAGAAGGTCGTCGTCCCGAGAGGGCACGTCCCGATGCTGCTCGCCGGCGGGGACGACGGGGGAGATCATCATGGCGAGCGCGTGCTGGTGCCGGTGCGGCTGCTCAGCGACCCTTCCGTCGCGGCGCTGCTGGACATGGCGGCGCAGCGGTACGGGTACGGCTAGCCCGGCGTTCTGCGTCTCTGCTTCTTAATTAATTCTACAACACGCACGAGAAATGAGTATAATCAAACAAAATAAATTCAAATTAAATCAATCGTTTTAAAAGCACCTGAACAACTACCGTACGTATTCGGAACTTTGCATCAGATTCAAAGTGGCAATGCGCATATCACTAAGCAGTAGCAGTTCTTGTTGTCAGCCAGGGTGAATTGTGTAGGACAGAGAGAGGAAGGGCCGTGTTTCTTCGTCACCCCTTCCTGACCCTGGAATACTCGGATTTCCGGCCGATTTTGCCGATGAGAAATGAAGTCGTTTTCAGAGCTGCAGAGCTCTCTGTTATCTGATACTGAAAGGGTCTCCATCGTTCACTCGGAAAGTTGGAATTGGAAGGAAGCCCTGTCTATATATACTTCTAGAATTCTCTCTCTTTTCAGAAAGAAACAAGATGGCCTCCGATTCTGCTTTTCTTACAAGCAAGATGAAAGTTCGATATGTACTTTAGAATTCCTTACCTTCGTCTACATCATACTTTATTCATCCTGAAATATAAAATATCTTATAAGAAATTTAGAACAAATTATTAGGTAAACCAAATTTGACGCAAGTAGCTCTCACTTAACTATAAAGAGAACTTGTACTTATCATATTTTAAATCTGGTGGGTGATACTTATGGTATTTACACATGTGACTGGTACAACGGAACGCACTATTGTTGCGCTTATTTCCAAATATTCCATGCAAAAGATGATAAAAGTGTAAACCCCTTTGCGATGTGATTTGTCTGAGTCGTCTTCGAACCATGCCAGAACCAGGTCTCCCTGCTGCACCACAGGCCAGAAAAGAGACGGTCCTTGGCACATAGGGCACATGTGCCGTTGTCCTAGGATCCAAACAAGAGTGATAATAGGTGTTAACCAAACCTTCAACTAGTTATTAGCCAACTAGCTATTTAACTCGAGCTAATTTAGACTATTATTTAACTCCAACTAGAAACTTCTAGTGATCCAAACATCCAAACATGTTCTTAATGTTTTAGGCGAGCTATATAACACAAGGTGAGAAGAAGAGAAGAAAGGGAGCTCAGATACTGTCCAAGCTACTGCTGTTCCCTGGATTGTGGGAACACGATGTCGGTGTATCTTCCGGTCACTCTTGTCTATGTCAAGGCTCAAGGGTTGCGAGTGCCCGGCGGAAGGCGTCGGGGGAGCACGGGATCCTGAGTGGGCCTTGGTGGCCGAACCCATACTCCTGGGCAGCGCGACCTAGGAGGTGTGCCAGCGCTGGGCGGCCCAGCAGCTCGGCCCGCACGAGGAAGCGCTCCGCCTCGCCGTCCGACCCCTCCCCGACGTGCACCGGCACGTGGCCCTTGGGTGTTAAAAAATTAGGCAATTTTCAGATTAAAACCAGAGTATAAATCATGACAATTTGAAGTACTAGATTAAGCATGAGCATATTGCATAGCATGAACATGATAACCGGTGTAAGCATAGCTCGTACACCATACAGATTAAACAGAACGAACGATGACATTAGATCACAAGGAATATACCTTCTGAATGTAGATGTAGTCGCTGGTGGTAAAGATGCAGATGGAGACGAAGCTGGTGACGATGGCGCGAGGTCGAGGTCGTCGATGAGCGGTGGAGGAAGAGCTCGGAACAGTTGACGACGGATACGCTGGGACGTAGTGCTGCCTGATTTGGATGGAAGACGACCCGTCGTGCAGGTTGGGAGCAGTCGCGCGAACAGCGCTTCCCAAAAACCTTATTCGCCTTCTCCCGGTGCAAGATCGCAAAGACGGAGGTTCCAAAGACCTGCTCGCCCGGTCGCCGGTGCACGCAAGCGATCGGGCTGGAGAAGCTACGGCGGCAGCGCAACAACGAGAAGAGGAAAATACTAATTTACTACTTTAGGATTTTCTAACTGAAACTTCCAATTGTAGTTTTTTGTGTGTCTTTTCCCAGAAGGATCGGTATATATATATATATATATATATATATATATATATATATATATATATATATATATATATATATATATATATATATATATATATATAAACTAGCTATATGGTACTAATTGATGTTGCACCTCCCACCTTTACTCATGGATTTAAACAATAAAGCCCATTAGGAAACACAGATATTGAGCCTTTGAGATTTATTAAAATTTCCTCATATGGATGTAGGATAATTATCCATATAAATTCTAACATCGGGCGGCGCCGCTGCCGCGGCTCTCGCGCGCGGAGCTTTGCCGACGCCCTGCCGCTCGTCCGGTGGCGACGCCGAGGAGTCCACGACGCGAGACAGCCGCCGGGCTAGCTGCCTCATCCCCACGTTTGCGGTTCAGTTTGCTTGCGCACAATGCGCGCAGCAGAGAGCCGGTGGAGTTGAGCTAGGCTGCTGCTAGCGAGTGTGTGCGAGACTGCGAGGCCGAAGAGTGGCCGACGGCCACTTAGGGGGTGTTTGGATCTAGTGACTAAAGTTTAGGAGGTGTCATATAGGCGTGTCGCATGTAGTGTTTGGATACTAATAAAAAAACAAATTACAGAATCCGTCAGTAATCCGTGAGACGAATTTATTAAGCCTAATTAATCCATCATTAGAACATGTTTACTGTAGCACCATGTTGTCAAATTATGGATTAATTAGGCTTAAAAGATTCGTCTCACAAATTAGTCGTAAACTATGCATTTAGTTTTGTAATTAGTCTATATAAATTAGTCGCAAACTGTGCATTTAGTTTTGTAATTAGTCTATATTTAATACTCTATGCATGTGTCCAAATATTCGATGGGACAGCGACTAAAATTTAGGAGGTGTAACAAACACCCCCTTATTTATAGCGGCAGCGAGGAGAGGCCGGCTGGTTGGTGGATGGCATGGCATGGCAAGTGTGGACCCCGTTTCCTAGTGGATGCATGTGGTGGACCTTGGAAGTGGAAGTCAGTAGCCCGGCCGGCAAGATGACTGCAGCAGCCAGTAGGGGTGAGCGCGCGGTCAAGCACGAGCACCACCACTAGCGTGACGCTCACCTCATTTCGAGCCGTCGTCGTCGGAGGTACAACGACAACGGCCGGTGGGGCTTTGGCTCCTGTTCGCTTGGAGGAATTATGGAGGAATTTGGATGGTTTGGAGGAACGCTGGAGGAATTTGTGAGAGAAAAATACTGTTCCGGATGAAAAAAGAAGCGGATCAAGCCGAGTTTAAGGGCACGCGAACGGGGCCTTGGTGGCCCCCGTCGCGATCACCCGCCGATCTCTACAGGAGGGAGCCGTCGACGTGTCGAGCGCTATACGGCGCACCGAGAGGACGTAGTGCGCGCAGCCACACGCCGTGGGTTGCATTACATTGGCAGACAACCTACTATCGGTTGTCGGTCATGGCCGCACGCATGCATGCATCATGCATGGTCGTCTTCCTTTTATGGGAGAATTGTCTGTTGGACATTTAGAGTGATGGTCCTTTGCTGGCGGACACCCACTTTGGAGCATTTTGCCATAGGACACTCTGGTTCGTTGAAATTAGGCCACAGGACACCGTGGCCCGGTTACAGCCGGTTGAGGAGAGAGAAAACTTCATTTTGGACATCCGGTGCCCCTGAACCACTCTTGGGTGCGACCCAACCTGGTCTGGTTGGACCCATAAGAACTGGCCCCGACCCGGCCATTAGGGTTAGGTCACGCGCCGTCCCTAATCCCACACTCCATTCCTCGCCGCCCACTCGACTCTAGTGCTCGCCGCGCCGCCATCCACCCTAGTGCCCACCGCCGCTGACACCTCCAGCCTCGGCCGTCATCCGCCGCAATGTGGGGCTAAGGATCTGGAGCACCCCCACGACTCGAAGATGAAGTCCACACGCAGGAAGAACGCATAGTGCCCTGGTTCTTCGCCTAGGGTTCCTCAATTGAAATGGATTCCAAAAGGGTGAGCTTTTTTGAACCCGTACTCTTTGGATTTATATGCCTGTTGATGCGTTGGAAAGGTTGCGGTTTGAAATCATTTGGTTCGGTTCTTTTCCTTTGTTTTGATTTAGGATAGATCTGATGGCCGTGTGTAGGTTGGCAATTAGAGTACCTGCCTATGTAGAGCAAAGACCAGATGGGCTCGATGATTATCATGTAACTGCTAACTACATGCGTGTGGTGGACAATGATCTCTTCAATTGGATGGGTTTTCATGAGTTGCTTTGTCAGGAGATAGTTCATGGTCAGGATCAAGAACTACAGGTTACTTTCTTTGACAAAACCAAGGATGAGAAAGGGCGCATAGATTCTGATTCTGCTCTGTTACATGCATTTGATGTGTATTGGGACTGTAGGAAGCTGCCACTGACTGTACAGGTTGTTGACATTAGTCCTCGTTTGTTACAGTCTCAGTTTTCCAGTGCTAATGCCTCTGTTGATAGTTAGTCTCTTATTAGCACACAACAGAGTCAGTTCAATTGTTTGCCACTAGCTATGATTTTGCCTGATGATATTCTAGTGCCTAATCCAGTAGATGATCATAATGCTGAAGCTGTTCATATTCCAGTGCCTAATCTAGTAGATGATCATAATGCTAAAGCTATTCATATTCCAGAATGTGTTAGTAACCACGATGTTGTCAGCGACGATCTGAGGTTGATAAAATCGATGTGGTCGCTAATTTCGATGTGGTCGCTAATCTTGATGGAGATGGTAATCCTGAGGTTGATGCTAATCCTGAAGGTGATGATAATAATGAGGATGATACTAATGCTGATGATGACTGGGGAGAGTCTAATGAAATTGAATATGTAGGAGTAGATGATGAGAAAGAGAAGTACAAGGATGAGCTAAATGATGATGGTGATGATGACTGTGATTACTATCCTGACATTGACCCAGAAGATGATGACCCACTAGTCGTGGATGATGAGAGGGGCTATGAGGGTGTGGTGCATGTGACTGACATAGATAACCCTAAGATAGCTACTGGTGTTACTTTTGAAGATGGTTTATGTTTTAAGAGGTGTATTA